CTAATTATTTTTAAATAATCATAATTGATAATATAAAATATAATTATGATTTATCTTTGTATTGCAAGTAAACGGCTCGTATGATATGCTTGAAGATGTAATTTAGTAATAATTTATCAGATGTTTGATTATTTTGTTTTTGTTTTAAAGTTTTATCTGATTTATCCCTTAAAAGTAGCAAAATTCCTGACAAATTTATCAGAAATTTTAAAATGAAGAAATTTTATGTATTTTTCATTGTAATAATTATTTTTAATTACTAGTTACATACCATAAAGATTTCATGTTTATAGTATTCATATTTGGTAAGGTGTGTTTGGAAAGTTAAAATTACGACCGTAACGGTGAACTCCGTGATATTACAAAAATATTAAAAAAACAAGATTGTCTAAATCATATGAAGATCATGATCCTATTTAGCTGAATGATAAATTTTTAATTTTTAAAAGGATGTGAATTGGGGAAAAAGAAGAGAAGGGGATGTAATTTCGATAATTTGCAAACGAATATTCGAATATCCTATTATTTTCAAACGGATACGAATAAATAAGATAATATTATATACGGTATATTATAATTTCTTACGAAATTAAATTTATGTTTCTGCTTTTCTAAAAGTTTCTATGAGGAAAAAAAATCTAATTAACTTAAGAAACAAATTAAAATAACTTTAAAAAATTTTAATTTTTAATGTACTGTAGATGCAAATCTAATGATGACTAAAAATTGAAGTAATGCAACAAAAACAATTTGGTTGAAAACGAACCCGATTAAATATGTTCACTTGTAAATATGTTGTGTCTGAATTCAGACGATCTTCTGAGATTCAGTCTTAATCTTAATGGTCAATTTCTGCGTAACTATTTAAATTCTAATTTCAGATATTGATCAAGCGAAATTGTAGAGCGCCGATGTTGAAGCAACACTGATTAATTTGATAATATTAAATAAATATTTTGTCATTATTACTTCAGTTTTATTCAATCAACACCTTCTGCTTACAATACAAATTGTTTATAAATACATAAACGAAAGAACTGAATACAACACTATCTTGTAGTGTAATTCTGACCATTCCAAACCTGCATCTACCCAAGAAATAGCTATATTTGTCAAAACAACAAATATTCCCATTAATACGCTAATTAATATCCCAAAAGCTACTGGAACTAAAATAAAATACATTCGATCAAAGTGATTAGGATAATAAAATAAACCTATTCTAACTATTTTAATTAAAATAACTACAAGTTGGATTCCCTGGCAAAACTCATTTTAGCAAATTGCAAAAATCGAAACTCTATATTCACGGATTTGTTAATAAGTATATAATATAGATTTGACATTTGACATTTGACGTTATGTTTTTGACGGGCTTGCCAATAAGGTTTATTACATTTTTGCCAATGACCCCGTCGAAACCCGAGAGTTTTGCCAGGCAACTATAGATTCCATAAACAGCGCATTTAAAATAAGCAAAAACGCTGATGATTAATTAATCGTCGTGATTTTGGAATTTAAAATATTGATTGCGAGATTAACAATTATAACGAGTGTAACTTTAATAACATCAAGGTTAATTTTCTAATTAAAAAGGATGGATATAATGGAAATTACGAAGAAAAAACTAGTTGGATTTAGTAAAACATTACTTAAATTGTGTAAAGTGCTGATAGACCAAGTATACATACATTTTCATCACGCTCTTCACGAATAAATTGCTTTCAAATTTTCATTAGCCAACCTGTTATATTTCTTCTTATTCCATGAAGATAATTATTTATATGTTTTTTCATCTCTCTCAAGCAGTAGAAGAGATCGATCCTTGTAGAAAGAGGCACATGAGATATATTTTAACTAACGAACAGATATCAAACGGGTTACTCGTCATGTTGGTGTTAACCATTATTACGATGTAAATTCTTTACATTGATCTTCACCTACAGCACATGTTAAAAGAAAAAACACGTTAGTTAACCATGAAAAATGATGTATTGATATTAATACCATTACAACAATCATAAGATACGACACGTGCTTGAAAAGTTCACTTCTATTGGATTAAGTTTACAGATCACAAATGCTTTAACAAATTCATAGAAGTCATTTAAGGTGTATATAACAGTTTCCTTTTTCGCACGTAGAGTCAATGTTGATGCACTACATGAAAGTCTTTCTTTTGTTCTCACTGCTCCAAGAAAATCAATAATATCATCGCCAGAAAGTTCAATAATTTTATTTGCGCGACGACCTTCGAATTTATACCAGATATTTTTGGTGTTCATGTTTTTTTCGTTAAAATGTTGAAAAAGTTAAAGGGTTACGAGAAGAATACCGTTTTGTAGATTTTTCTGTTTATTTATATCCTATAGTATGCTTTAATGTACACGTGGTAAATGTTACGAAAAAGGAAATTTTTTGATAACGTTGGCAATACTGCATACATATCGTCGTAATAATTTACTCCATATGTAAGTTAATATGCTGCGCTGCTTAATATGAAAGTTCGACTTTTTTTTTTACTTTTCATAAAAAATAACACTGAAACACTATAAGGACGCAATGTTGTTTAGACTTCTAAATATTAGCGAGACACGTATAAATACTTTAAAATTTCATAATAGTTGGTACATTAAAAAGAAAATTTCCGTGATAAGTACTTTTGAATTCTTTAGACTTGCTTACAATTATACCTTCATCACCTCATTTAGAAATAGGTTATATTAGATCTTTATTATGTAACGTGCATTGAGTGAAAAGATCATTTTATTTTATTTTATTCCTATTTGTCATGATGTAGCAGGACAACTTGTATAAATTTGGAATAGGATTGATCACCATAACGTGATGACTTTGGTCAAATTTCTTTATTATCAATATTTTCTTCAAAGTGCACTACCATCAGCATATTCCATTACTAACCAATATTTTTTTCAATACTTGACCTTGATTTTTAAAGTAAATAATTTCATGTACAGTATATAAATAAAATATTAAAAATATATAAACCTAATTATGATAATCCCACAAAGGCAGATGATCTTTCCATGAAATTCAACTTTCAGCTGGTGTACGAGCGCAATTATTATAATTTAGCTATGATTTATACTAAATAAACCAAAATGTCATACCTCACTAACAAGTTCTTTAATAGTAGAATTGTCAATTATATGATAATGATTTTAAAGCGAGATGCTGTGAGCTGCCAATAAAAGTCACTTGAATATTGTTAAAATTTCCAACTTTGAATTATTAACCAGAGTCGATAACGAACACGTGAACTACCCAATCAAAAATTATATTCATACTGAATTGGAATAATTATTGATCTTTCGTATGTCGCTAATTAAGAACCTTCTCTCATATATAGCCAATCAAAAAAAAAATTTTTTTTTAGCACTGCTAATAATATTCTCTTAATTCATAGTACGTAACTGAAAATGACTATTCCAAAGAAAGAAATACTATGTAAATCAACTAGTATGATTTCGAGATCAATATAAATTTCTAGTCCCGAATTTTTTTTAGATGCAGGTCGAACAACAACTACTAAAAAGTTAAGAAAAAAATTTTTTCTTATTTACAGTAAATTTTACTATATTAAGGGATATTTGTTTACTATAAATAAATTTATTGATTTTTTAATATATTGAACTATATGACAAAAGAAATAAATGTTTTGCATTTATTTATCGAACGATTGAAACAACCACATTCTATTGTATCAATCAAGACATATGGTCGGTTTGCCATTGAATCCATGTTACGGACCATATGATTTACTATCTCTCGGAAACGAACTTATGACTTATACAAGAGGTTTAAATTTCCTAAATTAAAAAGTTTTAAACTAATGACACATTGACTAAATTTTTTTATTACAAATGAACTTTGGATTTATATCATTTTGCAGTAAAAAGAAATTAATAGCAATTTGAGTCGTTTACAAAATCGTTTCAAGATCATTCGTCAATACTGATAGATTTGATGTCGGTAACATTGACGTAAAATCTTTTAAATTTCCCAATCGTCTCGCCCGCTCGCTCCATATCTAATTCAATCATTCTATGTTAATTTTCATTATTTCTTTAATTGTAAATTAAGTTGTCGTGTGACATTAATAATATATTGTCCTCGAATTTTAGATAATAAAAGCCTTTGATCGCATTTCTTTTGCATAAAAAATTTTTAACTTCAACGATTTGATGTATTAGCTTCATATTGATAAAACACGGCCTATTGATCACATTTTATTCTTAGATGGACGTTCACACGATCAAATAAGATGTACATAATTACGGCACGATCTTAAAAAAATTTTTCTAGTATTCTGAATTTATTATACAAATAAAATCCGAAAATTGCTAAAATCACAAATATGATATTTTCTATTAACCTGATTTACAGCTAAATATTCTCTTGCATTTCTTTGTTCTGAAGTTCGGTAATTTATCGAAATGAATCAGCTAAGAATATGATGTACCGAATAATACAATCGCGTGATACTTGATAAAATTCAGTAATCATTATCATTTCTGAAATGGTATCGAATGTTTCTGGTTCATAATTATTTATTTGGATTTAATTGGCTAATACTTATCACATGAATAAAACCTAATTGAAAATAAGGAAAATAAAAAAAAGTAACGAAATGTAGGCGACAAATAACGCAAGGCATTTGCACATAATGTTGGCAAGCATTAAAGTATTCATATAAAATAATTAGATATTTAACCCGACATATGAAACCTTGACTATTATTTCTACGGTCTAGCCAATAATTAATATGCCAAAAATAAAAGAAAATGGTTTTATACTGTTAATTCATATAATCAATCAATGATATTTGCATAATATATATTTATAATTATCATAAATAAACTTTAACACAAAGTTTATTCGAATAATAAATCAAAAAGACATAAGTAAATCTCTATGTAAAATAAAATTACTCCATATAACATTATTATATGCATTTTATTCATCAAACTAGGGAACGGGACCGTTGTTAAGTCCGGAGTGATCTTAACTAAAAAAACACTTGTGAATTTGACAAAAGGAATCATCATAATCGACTCAATTATTTAGCTGGTGGACTTCGCTACGCTACAGTCTGGTATAGTGCTCCGAGCCGGTCGAGTCGACCCGGGTTGATCGACCCAACTCGAATTTTTTCTCGAGTCAGGTTTATCATTTTTATGACACGAGTCCTAATTCGATAAAACCCGTCGGGTCAGGG